AGAAGGAATGAGACTTCGTAAGAGGATTTTGAACAACCTATCATATGCGAGCTATGTGTCTTAGATTGAACCCAAGAAGGTTGAGGAAGCCCTTAGAGATGAATATTGGGTTAATGCTATGCATGATAAGTTAAATCAGTCTGTTAGAAACAAAGTTTGGGACTTGGTGCCTAGGCCTAATAATTGCAATGTTATTGGTACCAAGTGGATATTCAAGAATAAGACGGATGATCAAGGTATCATTACGAGAAATAAGGTCGGTTGGTTGCTCAGGGATACACTTAGGTTGAAGGTATTCATTTTAATAAAACTTTTTTCTCGGTTGCCTGTTCCTTAAGGTTCAAATTGTACTAAATGGATGTCAAGAGTACTTTTTTGAATGGTATTCTTCAGAAAGAAGCCTATGTAGAACAACCTAAAAAGTTTGTTGATACGAAAATATCCTCACTATGTGTATATGCTGAATAAAGCCTTGTATGGGCTGAAACATGCTCTGAGAGCTTGGTATGATACGTTTACTGCATACCTCATGGAACAAGGTTTCGCGAGAGGTGGTGCAGACGAAACCTTTTTTGTGAGACGAATTGAGGATACCATCACCATAGCTCAGACATATGTGGATAACGTCTTTGGTTCTCTCGTTGATTCACTTGCTCATAAGTTCGCTGAGTGTATGAAGCTAGAATTTGAAATGAGCGTGATTGGTAAATTAACGTACTTTTTTGGTCTTCAAGTCAAGTAGACTGATGAGGGATTGTTCATATCTCAATCGAAATATGCCAAGAATCTTGTCAAACAGCTTGGGTTAGACAGTAAAAAACACACTAGAACCCTCATGAGCAGATGTGTCAAGTTAGGTCAAGATCCTACAGGTAAGAGTGTCGATCAGTCTCTTTATAAAAGTATGATAGGTAGTCTACTTTATCTCACTGCAAGTAGACCTGACATAACTTTTAGTATAGGGATTTATGCACGCTTTTAAGCTGATCCCAAGGAATCTCCATGAGTGTCATCCGACGTATCATCAGATATGTCAATTGAACTGTAGATTATAGGATCTTGTACTCTCAAGACTCTAAACTTGATCTTGCTGGTTATTCTGATGCCGATTGGGCTGGCAATACGAATAATAGAAAAAGCACGTCTAGAGGTTGTTTTTACATTGGCGCCAATATTGGTGCTTGGATGAGTAAGAAACAAAATTATATCTCACTGTCCACGGCAGAGGCTGAATACTTCCTACTGCACTCAACTGCTCTGGATGAAGCAGATGTTGAGTGACTATGGGATTGAATAGAGAACTATGACTATGTTTTGTGATAACACCAGAACTATTAATATTTCTAAAAATCTTGTCAACACTCTCGAACTAAACATATTAACATCGGACATCATTTTATTCAAGAACTTGTGGAAACTCA